TAGTTAGTTAGTTAGTTAGTTAGTTAGTTAGTTAGTTAGTTAGTTAAGTTAGTTAGTTAGTTAGTTAGTTAGTTAGTTAGTTAGTTAGTTGTTTAGTTAGTTAGTATATATATATATATATATATATATATATATATATATATATATACATATATACATATATTTGTATATATACACAATTAGGAATAACATCTAACTGAAATTTATTACTATTACAATCATATTCTCATCATATGTTTAGGGCAACATGACCAAGGAGGAAGCTTTGGGCTTATTTCATAACGTGACAAAGCAATTAAACACGGATGGCGGCATCCCCACTCAACTCTTCCCAATGGAAAGGACTGTAGTGATTGAACCAGGCACCTGGGTGTATAGAATACCCAACAACAACCCTACTGACGACAACTCATCGGTAGAGAACTACTACCAGGTATGTGTATGGGTGGGTTCTATATATATAATGTTTATGTTCTATATATTTCTGTTCTATATATAGAATATCTGTGTTCTATTTATAAATCACAAAGTGTTGATGTTTCACAATCTATATATAGACTGCAGCTCATAGAGTACATAGCAGCGACGCCAAAAATGATAACGCATCGGCAGAGAACTACTACCGGGTGAGTGAGTATACAATTGGGTACTATATATAGAATGAGTGTGATCTATTTATATCACGAGTGTAATCTATTTATAGTTGACACTGTGGTATGACTCACCATCTATATTTAGGTCGTAGTTCTCCGCATACACAACAACAACCCTACAGTACACTTGAGACCCTATATAGCCATCTCTCTGACCCTATATAGCCATCTCTCTATACAAATGACAAGCTTGTTCTCTGAATACGGTCACTGAAAGTGCGTCGCTGGCGTATGGTGCAGCTATCTATTTGGTTGCTGAGTGGAGTGGCTCACTGTTTCCACAAGATATTGGACGTTTTCGATGTGTGTATTTAAATGGAAGTGTTATATCCATGAGAGTACATAAGTAGCTTTTCATTAAACACGCCTCATGAAAGGTTTATTTTTATTATTGTACACACGTGATGATAGGTATATTCAGATGTCCAGTAAGTCATTAGACTTGTGCAAACTTTGGGATTACTTTAGGGCTGGTACATTATTGCTAATCAGAATATTATTATACTTTCACAGTTTTTTATGAGTATTTTAGCGATCTATTAC